TGAAGAATCGCTGCCGCCGTTGGGCCTTCTTGGCCAGTTGTGTGTTGTTAAGTGTCCAAGTGAGGACCTCACTTGGAGGAGGACACTTGGACACTTAACAACACACAGCTGGTCAAGAAGGCCCAACGGCGGCTGTACTTCCTGAGGAGGCTGAGGAGGTTTGCTCCTACAAAGTAAAACTCACATTTTTCTTCATACTGGTAGGAGAAGAACACAGCTCTGTACCGTCCTGCATTGGAAGAGCTGCGCAGACAAATCCGCTCCTCAACTACCTCCATGACGTCAGTACCCAAGCCTCTGAAATTCCTGCGCTCACACTATGGAAAGCTCAAAGAGATCTATGAGGGCATGGCACCCGGAGAGAACAAGGTAAGGATGAACTTAAAAATTCATACATGAGTGCATTTTTGAGAGTTTTCAGTTGAACCACAATATGGAAAATAGCACAGACTCCACGCTAGTGTAAGTAATTCAAGCTACAGAAAGCTTTTTTTTTTTTTACCTTGAGAGGAAATTAAATTCATCATCACTCTAACCAGAATACAAATCACAGGTATTTATGCATGCTTGAGTGCCATCTGATGAAAATCCAACATTAATTTGCAAGTGTATAATCACCAATGGCATTAGAATATCAGAAATGTCCTGAATAATATGACACAGACACTAAAACTGATTGCTTCATTAGAGAAATCAAGTTCAAACTGTATGTGGTGTTTGTATTTGCAGCGTTTCTGTGCTGATGTGGTGTCAGTACTCGCCATGACCATGAGTGGTGAGAGGGAGTGCCTGAAGTACCGTCTGTTGGGCTCACAGGAAGAGCTGGCCTCCTGGGGACATGAGTATGTCAGGTAGGAAAATAGTTACCAGCAACAGGTCTTGGTGTAGCTGCAAAGTAAATGGAAGTAATACAGTTATTTTGTGTGTGTATATGTCTATATGCTGTGGTTCACAGTGTTAAATCAGTAGAAAAACATACACAAGATAGACTGGAGCTGTAAAAGTTGGGAAAAGAAAATTTAATGTCATTTGCCACTTGTGTCACATCTTTGTGACGTTTTTCTGTCTATTGTTTTTCAGGCACCTGGCCGGTGAGGTGGCTAAAGAGTGGCAGGAGGTCGAGGAGAATGACAAAACGCAGCAGGAAGCGCTGCTAAAATTAGTGAAGGAGATTGTGCCTTATAACATGGCACACAATGCTGAGCACGAGGCATGCGACCTGCTGATGGAGATTGAGAGGCTGGACATGCTGGAGGACTACATTGATGAAAATGCTTATGGCAAGGTCTGCCTCTACCTTACCAGGTATGTTCAGGTTTTACACTGGGAACACAGGCCTCATTTTTAAGCATCTTTAAACGGTAGGGCTTGAATTTGTTACTGAAATATGATGGTGTCATGTCTTATCTTCCTTCATCGTTCCTCTAGTTGTGTGAGTTATGTTCCTGAGCCAGAGAACTCAGCATTGCTAAGATGTGCCCTGAACATCTTCAGAAAGTTCAACCGTTACCCAGAGGCAGTACGACTGGCTCTGATGCTCAATGATGTGGAGCTAGTAGAAAACATCTTCACATCCTGCAAAGACATGTAAGGACTATAAAACACAATTTGTAAGGGACATAAGATGTCTATGGTAATGATAAAGAATATTTCTACATCTTTGTCCCTTTGCAGAGTCATACAGAAGCAGATGGCCTTTATGCTGGGGCGGCATGGCATGTTCCTGGAGCTTAATGAGGATGTGGAGGACTATGAGGACCTGACAGAGATCATGTCCAATGTGCAGCTCAACAGCAACTTCTTGGCCCTGGCCAGAGAGGTAGGGGACAAGAAGAGGGGGCTAAAGAAATTCAGTAATGTGGGAAAAGCTTAAACTTTCCCTCTCATTATAAAGCAATGGAATCCACAGTCATGGTAGATATGGCATCAAAGAGTATTCAGTTATAGGATCAAGTCATCAAACTATCAAAATGTTAATGTAAAATAGTTGTTTCAACGTCTGTAAATTAACAAATTTATCACATAGCACCTTGTTGTTCATATTACACGGGCCTACATTAAATGAATTATGTGAAATCTACTTGCAAGTTATTCATTTTTACACATCTGAGGTGATTTTATCTGGCTTTAGACAAACAAATTAGGTAATCAAACAAATTTTTACCTAGAAAAGCAGATGGTGAGTTTATAGAAATTGTAGAGTCTCAGCTAGAATCTGATGACTTGCAAGTCTGTAGTATTGTTTCTTGTCTCACAGTAACAAGTTTTCCATGAACCCTATAAATGTGAACATTTGGGGTCAGCAGCAGCAGTAGCAGTATTATTTGGATTCAGATCAGACTTTGGTGTGTGGTAGATCTTATGGGGGATGTTATCATGTAATTTTTGTCCCAAGCATTTTAAGAATTATGTATGGAGTTGGAAGCAAAAATTGTTAAATTGACCCTATCTGACAATGGTAAAGATTCCTTTAAAAAAATTCCTGGATCCAAACAATGAGGGAAATGTTTTTGTTTTTGTTTTACTAAAAGACAAGTGATATGTGATTCACAGTGGCAGATGGTGCATCATAAATTCAGGCAGTCACTTTGAGACAGCTATGACTCAACAGATTAACCAACTTGTCCTGTCCTCCCCAGCTGGACATCATGGAACCCAAAGTCCCGGATGACATCTATAAAACACATCTGGAAAACAACAGTGAGTCCATATAGTTTTAAATAAAGTTTAGATAAG